GGAGGCACGCTAGACTCTCCCTGCGCCTCTCCCTGTCTCTGTGGCCTGCTGGCTGGAGATCAGGCACCGTCAGGGAGACAGATGCTGTCAGGACAGGCGTCTGTTTACTTGCTAGCAGAACACTGCTGTGTTTTCACAGCCCAGAATAGCTCCATAGCCACCCCCAGGCCCATAGACCTAGGAGCCTCACTGTTTGTTTTCATGACAATTCTGGGCCTCACCTCTTCCCTTCTCTGAGTCAAGGTCCTCATCTGAGAACTCTCAGAGCGGGTATGGTGTGGGTTCAAGGGGCCAAGACTACTAATTTCCTAATTATCTCTCCCAGCTGGCTCGGGAAGAGGGGAGGACTAATAACTGACTGTACAACACCGGCGTTTCGGTTGGGATGGAATTTCCCCAGCTCATAAAGAAAGAGTTGATTGAAGTACTGCATGGCCGGTGGGGGTGCAGGGGAAGGAAACAAGGGAATGGAAGAGCATAGAAGGGAAGACTCCAGTCTGGATTGCAGCAGGTTCTGTGCGGGGCGCTTTCACTGGAGAATGCTGGGGGCTTCTCTGACTCGTGCTTCTCAGGTCAGGCTGCCCTGGTGTTTAGAAGGAATCAGGGGTAGGAGGAAGACTGGCTTCACAGAATACCCTTTCAAACTCCAATTTTTTTTAACAATGTGAGTGAGTTACTTTTGAAAATATTTTGGGTTCACACCTGTAATCCCAGAACTTTGGGAGCCTGAGGCAGGTAGATCACTTGAGGTTGGGAGTTCGAGATCAGCCTGACCAAAACGGTGAAACCTCATCTCTACTAAAAAAAAAAAAAACCCCAAAATTAGTCGGGCCATGGTGGCGTATGCCTGTAATCCCAGCTACTCTAGTGACTGAGGCACAAGAATTGCTTGAACCAGGGAGGAGGAGGTTGCAGTCAGCTGAGATCATGCTACTGCACTTCAGCCTGGGCAACAGAGCAAGACCCTGACTCTAAATAAATAAATAAAGAGGCCAGGCACAGTGGCTCACACCTGCAATCCCAGCACTTTGGGAGGCCAAGGTGGTTGGATGATCTAAGCTCAGAAGTTCGAGACCAGCCTGGGCAACATGGCAAAACCCTATCTCTACTAAAAATACAAAAAATTTGCTGGGCCTGGTGGCACCTGCCTGTAATCCCAACTACTCAGGAGGCTGAGGCAGGAGAGTTGCTTGAACCCAAAAGGCAGAGGTTGCAGTGAGCTGAGATCTCGCCACTGCACTCAAGCCTGGGCAACAGAGAGAGACCCTGTCTCAAAAAAAAGAAAGAAAGAAAGCAAATATTTTAATTTTTAAAATATGACCACATTTATCTTTTTTTTCTGGGAATCATTAATCTTTTACTTCTGTTAGATAATTCAAAGCCAGGCATCCCTTCATTGGAGCTTCGTTCAAAGGACTGCCACCACTCAGAATATCAAAGCTGAATGGAGGGTGAGAGTCCCTGGGTCTTATTTTACAGTTGCCAAAAGCAAAACCCAGAGACTCCAGTGACTTGGCCAAGGTTGCACAGCTCTTTCATTTTATTTATTTTTAAAACGCTGGTGATGACCATGAGGAAGGGATGGTTTTCTGGGCTGCCTGTGGGATCCTTGAGAGTGTTTTTTTTTTTTTTTTTTTGAGACAGTTTCACTCTGTTGCCCAGGCTGGAGTGCAATGGCAAAATCTCGGCTCACCACAACCTCCACCTCCTGGGTTCAAGTGATTCTGCCTCAGCCTCCTGAGTAGCTGGAATTACAGGCATGCACCACCACGCCTGGCTAATTTTGTAATTTTAGTAGAGACGGGGGTTTCTCCGTGTTGGTCAGACTGTTCTCAAACTCCCAACCTCAGGTGATCCATCTGCCTCGGCCTCCCAAATCCTGGGATTACTGGTGGGAGACACTGCGCATAGCCCAAGAGTGTTTCTGCTTGTCTTCTAAGAAAAAAGAAGAAGTACCTTCTGCCCCCTGCCCACCTCCTACCCACCAGTCCCAGCCTCTCTCCCAGCCTGAGCAGGGGATGTGCAATTGATGACCTGGTTTTTCTTCCCTCCTTTTTTAGTCGGTCTCAATGCTTCCAAAGAATCCTTGGATTGAAGCAAGGAGGGACAGCAGTTTGGGCTTAGGTCAAGTCACACTTCCCTTCTCTCCTCAAATAGCCCTTCTTTCCCTCTGGGATACAGATCAGGACCAAGGGGAAAGTCAGCCTTTTAAAAATAGTCCTGACCACACTTTTGCAGGCTTCCTTCCCTTGCCTCTGCCTCTGTAGTGCGCCACCAACAAAGTTTAACTCCTGGCAGAAAGAATGAAATTTGACAGCAAAAATGCTTTCTTTTTTTTTTTTTAAGACGGAATCTCTGTCGCCCAGGCTAGAGTGCAGTGGCGCACTCTCAGCTCACTGCAACCTCCACCTCCCAAGTTCAAGCGATTCTCCTGCCTCAGCCTCTTGAGTAGCTGAGATTACAAGTGTGTGCTATCACACCCGGCTAATTTTTGTTTTCATTTTTAGTGGAGATGGGGTTTCACTATGTTGGTCAGGCTAGTCTCAACTTGCCTGACCTTGTGATCCTTCCCCCTCCCAAAGTGCTGGGACTACAGGCATGAGCCACTGCACCTGGCCAACAAAAATGTTTTCTAACTGCAAAGGTGGTTTGGCACTGCAAAGGGTTGATTAAGAATGGGAGAAGAGGCTGGGCACGGTGGCTCACGCCTGTAATCCCAACACTTTGGGAGGCTGAGGCGGGTGGATCACTTGAGGTCAGGAGTTTGAGACCAGCCTGGCCAACATGGTGAAACCCCAGTCTCTGCTAAAAATACAAAAAATTAACCGGGTATGGTGGTGTGAGCCTGTAATTTCAGTTACAGGCTCTTCAATTACAGGCTGAGGCAGGGCAATTGCTGGAGCCTGGAAGGCGGAGGTTGCAGTGAGCTGAGATCGTACCACTGCACTGCAGCCTGGGTGACAGAGCAAGACTCTGTCTCAAAAAAAAAAAAAATGAACAGGAGAAGAGTCTACCATCTGTTTGTGAGGGAACTGGTTGAATGTTTGTGGAAACAGGTTACTTCCTGGAGGGAACAACAGCTTCTTTTGGGAAAGGGGGCTAAGGAAGAGGGAGGAGGAGAGGAAGGGCAGGCCGTGCTTCCAGTAAAGGTTCTGGTGACTCATGTGACTTTGGAAGAAGGCAGGCCCTGGGATGATTGCAGGGGGAAGGTATCGAGTGGGTTGTTCTGAACTGTTTACAATGCAGCAAATGCCTTCAGGTTTTCTTCTGTGGACAAAATGTGCAGCCATCCTGAGACATGCTGCATGCTTCCCCTACCTGGTCAGCAGAGGCACAGTTCAAGGTCCTGAAGCTGAACTTTCTCACTGTGCCAGAGAGAAGACAGCCCTTTGCACTGGCAAACAATAATTAACCCACCTCTCCCTCCACCTGTTTTTCTCAACATGTTTTTCTAAAACATAAACTGGGTCACTCACTTAGAAGGTGAGTGTTGAGCTGGCCAGTTTCCCAAGTCCACCGTGAAACACTTCCTCCACTGATCACTTGGTAGGTGAAAGAAAAGTATACAAAAGAAAAGTAATTAAAAAATAATAAAACTGTACATTTTGCAGTTTGGGCTGTAACCCTTCAGAGGAATCTATCCTGCTGCTTGGATTAAGCTGTGGACTAGAGCTAGGTTTTTTTTTTTCTGTGGGGAGGTTATAATTTATTTCAAAGAGACAGGGTCTTGCTATGTTGCCCAGGCTGGAGTGCAGTGGCTATTCACAGGCATGATCCCACTACTGATTAGCACGGGAGTTTTGACCTGCTCCGTTTCCAACCTGGGCCAGTTCATCCCTCCTTAGGCAACCTGGTGGTCCCCGCTCCCAGGAGGTCACCATATTGATGCAGAACTTAGCGTGGACACCAGATCGGCATAGCGCACTACAGCCCAGAACTCCTGGGCTCAAGCGATCCTCCCACTTCAGCCTCCCAAGTAGCTGGGACTACAGACACGTGCCACCGGGCCCAGTTGGAGCTAGGTTTTGAATACCATCTATAGTATGTAGACAACATCGATTCTAGGCCAGGCACAGGGGCTCATGCCTATAACCCCAACACTTTGGGAGGCTGACACAAGAGGACGCTTGAGCCCAGGAGTTACAGACAAGCCTGGGCAACAAAGTGAAACCCTGTTTCTACAAAAAATACAAAAAATTAGCCAGGCATGGTGACATGGGCCTCAGCTACTGGAGAGGCTGAGCTGGGAGGATCACTTGAGACCCAGGATGTTGAGACTGCAGTGAGCCATTATGGGACCACTGCACTCCAGCCTGGGCAACAGCGTAAGACCCTGTCTCAACAAAAAAGAACCATTTCCAGAGCCCCTACCCAGAATAGAAGATTCGGCTTCAGGTAAAATCAGACTTTCTTTCTGGGAGTAAATGCAATTTTTGGATGAGGTGTGTGGTAAGTTACAGCTCCTTTTTCCTCTTTGCGTTCTCATCTGCAAATAAACTTGTTTGAGTGAATGAGTCAACCCTGGCCTGGGAGAAGGTGCCAGGGCCCTGGACCCAGCTGCCCTTATTTATCAGCCAACCAGACTGTACTCCCTGGCACCTTTCCTTCATGTTCTCCAGATCCAAAGCCTCCGGATTTCTAGTTGTGGGGGAAATGCCTAAGGAGTGGCATGCTTGGGCACCTACCAAACATGAGCCTGAATAATTTTCCATCCTCATTCCTTCCCCAACTCGGCTGGCCATTTTCCCAGCGGGGATTAACCATCTTCTCCACTGAGGATAAAATAATAGGGAACTTACTGATATTTCTTTTTTTTTTTTTTAATTTTTTATTGGATTATAGGTTTTGGGGTACATGAGCAGAGCATGCAAGACAGTTGCGTAGGTACACACATGGCAGTGTGCTTTCTTTTCTTCTCCCCTTCACCCACATTTGGCTTTTCTCCCCAGGCTATCCCTCCCCACCTCCCCCTCCCACTGGCCCTCCCCTTTTCCCCCCAATAGACCCCAGTGTTTAGTACTCCCCTTTCTGTGTCCATGTGTTCTCATTTTTCATCACCCACCTATGAGTGAGAATATGCGGTGTTTCATTTTCTGTTCTTGTGTCAGTTTGCTGAGGATGATGTTTTCCAACTTACTGATATTTCTACAAAGGAAATCAAAATATTTCACCCCAAACTATGGCTCCCCAGTACAAGAAGTCCTTTGTTTGTGACAGGACGTTGCTCTGTTGCTCTGGCAGGAGTGCAGCGGCCCGATCACGGCTCACTGTACATCCCAGTTCAAGTGATCCTCCCACCTCAGCCTCCTGAGTAGTTGGGATTATAGGCTCCTACCATTGCACCGGGCTAATTTTTATATTTTTTTATAGAGATGGGGTTTCACCATGTTGGCCACTAAAATACAAAAATTAGCCAGGCATGGTGGTGCGCGCCTGTAGTCCCAGCTACTTGGGAGGCTGAGACAGGAGAATTGCTTGAACCCAGAAGGTGGAGGTTGCAGTGAGCCAAGATCGCACCACTGCACTCCAGCCTGGCGCCTGGTGACAGAGTGAGACTCTGCCTCAAAAAAAAAAAAAAAAAAGAAAATAGGACTGGTTGGGCATGGTGGCTCAAGCCTATAATCCCAGCACTTTGGGAGGCCAAGGCAGGTGGATCACCTGAAGTCAGAAGTTCAAGACCAGTCTGGCCAACATGGTGAAACCCCATCTCTCCTAAAAATAAAAAATTTAGCCGGACATGGTGGCATGCGTCTGTAATCCCAGCTACTGGGGAGGCTGAGGCAAGAGAATTGCTTGAACCCAGGAGGCAGAGGTTGCAGTGAGCCAAAATCGTGTCACTGCACTCCAGCCCGGGCAACAAGAGCAAAACTCTAAACTCCATCTCAAAAAAAAAAAAAAAAAAATCGGACTGACACACAAAAGCAACTTTTCTTCTTCTTCCTTTATCCTATTATCTATTACAGGAAAGAAGTCCAAAAATCTAACCATAAAATGGGTCTCAACAGACTCTTTTTCAAGATAGTGGCTGTCTCTGAGGATCATTTAAAATCCAGGGAGAACTATTTACAAGTTAACTTCTGTTCCTGGATTCAATCTTTCTCCCTCTGCCCTCTGATAGAATTCTTTTTCTCCTCCACTCCCATAACCTGTTTTTGTGAGAATCCAAGCCCCCGTTCTTTCTGTAACCTCAAGATGGTAGATAAGCTTCCATACCTCATTGGGAAGTTGGATCTTCATTCTGAAGCCTCCCATGTATACATGTTAAATACATTTGTATGCCTTTTCTCCTGTTAATCAATCTGCCTTATGTTAGTGATTTTTCAGCCAACTTGTACCTTGTCACCCACATAAGACTCCTCCAGGTTACATAGTTTTGTAAATGTCAGGCCACCCTGTCCCACTAAACAGCCAAGGTCCTGGAGGACAGCTGGGATTTAACTTTTTTTTTTTTTTGAGATGGAGTCTTTCTCTGTCACCGAGGTTGGAGTGCAGTGGTGCGATCTCTACTCACTGCAACCTCTGCCTCCCGGGTTTAAGTGATTCTCCTGCCTCAGTCTCCTGAGTAGCTGGGACTGCAGGTGGCTACCACCACACCCAGCTAATTTTCATATTTTTAGTAGAAACGAGGTTTTGCCTTGTTAGCCAGGCTGGTCTTGAACTCTTGACCTCAGGTGATCTGCCCACTGTAGTTTCCCAAAGTGCTGGGTTTACAGTTGTGAGCCACCATGCCTGGCCTGGGATTTAACTTTTAATTCCTCAGAGAGTCAGGCATGGTGCTTTGCCCAGGAAGTGTTGTTGAATTAAACTAGAGCAATCTTGAAAAGGGAAAATAACAAGAGTTAGAGGGAGATGGCAGGAAGCCCTCTCTGAAGATAGTTCTTTATATGAGTGGATTCTGCAGGGCACTGTTGCTCATATCTGTAATCCCAGCATTTTGGGAGGCCAAGGCAGGAGGATCATCTGAGGCCTGGAGTTCAAGACCAGTTTGAGCAACATAGTGAGACCTCCATCTGCACAAAAAATAAAACATTAGCCGGGTTTGGTGGTATGTGCCTGTAGTACCAGCTACCCAGAGGCTGAGGCAAGAGGATCCCTGAAGCCTGGGAGGTTGAGGCTGCAGTGAGCTGTGATGGTGCCACTGCACTCCAGCCTGGGCAACAGAGTGAGACCCCTATCTCAAATAAATAAACAGATCAATGAATGGATTCTCAGCAAAACTTCTAGCCACTCACCTCCTATAGCCATAGGACCTTTGAGAATCCACAGCATCTCGATGCAGTCAGCTTTCTAACAAGCTCAGGTCTGTTGGGGCCTCACCTGTTTTCCCACAGATAAAAACATGCTGGAGGAAGCAGAAAAGGGCTGGAAGGTAGACAGGTGAGGACTTGCTCGTCATCTCATGACTATGAGGTTTCTCTGACACAGAGGGTCCCCCTGCCTGGCAGGCACCTGCTGGGAAGACTCCCACTGCCCCTGGATGCCCAGAGTGGGATGCCAGCTCTGTCACTTATGAACTCCTTATCCACAGGGGCATTCTCCCTGAGGCTCCTCAGAAAATAAGGCCCTCCACTGGCTCCCCATATGCTGAGCACATGATAGAACCCCTCCTGACTCAGAGACCCTAGCTCCTAGCTGCCCTGCCACGACCCAGACGGTGGCCTTTGGATATTTTTTTAGACTCACTTTGCCTCATCTCAGACCATAGAAACTCTAATCCCAGAGGTCACTGCAATAGTCACTCCACAATAGAGGCTTACCTGGATAGAGAGAGGCTTCCTACCTGTGGCTTAGCCGTCCTGACAGTGCAAATCACATACACCCCACGCCCCAACACTGCCACACATGGGCTTTCTTTGCACCCCCACCCCCCCGCCAGTCACCACCACATTACCTGCTCTCCGAGGTTAGATGTGGCAGGAGAATGTTGCTTGGACCAGCAGAAACCACGCGGTCAAGGGCAACTGGAGTCAGCATGAGCTGGGTGGGAGCCCTTGGTGGGGTGGAGAGGAGACTCCAGGTCATACCTCCTGGAGGATGTTTTAATCATTTCCAGCATGGAATGCTGTTAACCTTTGCCACAGATTCATTAGGTCTGAGTTTCTTTTCTCTGTCCCGAGCTACCCCTTAGATGTCAATATAGACTTCATGATGGAAAATTCAGGCAGGTTTTTAAACGCATTATTCCCCCTAGCTCTTATTCTCAAAAATGAGTGAATTTGGAGGCAGCGGTTCCTGCCTGTAATCCCAACACTGCAAAGTTGAGGCGGGAGGATCACCTGAAGCCAGGAATCTGAGACCAGTCTGGGCAGCGTGGTGAGACCCTGTCTCTAGAAAAATAAACAAATAAATAAATAATAGTGATATGAAGCATGACTAAATAGCCCTATTTTTTAAAAATACATGAATTCATTACCTAATTCGTTCCCTGATTCCTTTCACAGTCCTCCATGACCCAAGTGTGAGGGTTTTGGTTGCTCTGCTGTTTGCGAGCTGATGTATAGTATGCACACATACACACAGATAATGCATCTTGAGCTTTCTTTTGTGCATATACAATATATACAAGAAAGCTCAAGATACAGAAGCCCTTTTTCAAAATTAACTGAAAGTTTCAAACTCTTTTAAGTCTTCAGTAACCAATTTGCTGGTATGCTTATTTAGAACCAGATATTCATCATATTGTTGTACAATATGACTATACATTCATTCTATTGCTTAAACTTATGAGTTAAAATACTTGACCAAGCATAGTGGTTCACACCTGTAATCCGAGAGCTTTGAGAAGCCAAGGCTGGCAGATGGCTTGAGCTCAGGAGTTCAAGACCAGCCTGGGCAACATAGTAAAATCTCATCTCTACAAAAGACACACAAATTAGCTGGGCATGATGGCATGTGCCTGTGATCCTAGCTACTCAGGAGGCTGAGGTAGGAGGATCATGTGGGCCCAGGAGGTTGAGGCTGCAGTGAGCCTTGATTATGCCACTGCACTCCATATTATGGGTGACACAGAGAGACCCTGTCTCAAAAAAAAAAAAAAAAAAGAAAGAACATTTAAAACAAAACAAAACAAAAAAACCAGGCCGGGTGAGGTGGCTCACACCTGTAATCTCAGTACTTTGGGAGACTGAGGTGGGCAGATCACAAGCTCAAGAGATTGAGACCATCCTACCCAACACGGTGAAACCCCATCTCTACTAAAAAATACAAAAATTAGCTGGGTGTGGTGGCGCACGCCTGTAGTCCCAGATACTCAGGAGGCTGAGGCAGGAGAATGGCTTGAACCCAGGAGGTGGAGACTGCAGTGAGCTGAAATTGCATCACCGCACTCCAGCCTGGCGCCTTGCCACAGAGCAAGACTCTGTCTCAAAAACACCACCACCACCACCAAGGGCTGTAACTTTAAGGTCATTAAATGAATTAATCACTGCATTCAAAGATGACTACTTTCTGGCCCTAAGAGATGGGAAGCCAATATCAGGAAGGGGGTTGATCTCCCAAATCAGAGGCAGACCGGACACTCTAATACAGTTAAGGAAACACCAGCAAGATGGCAGTCCCTAATACAATAGAAGTTACTATATTTTATTTGTTGTTTTTCTTTTGTTTTGTTTTTTTAGAGACAGGGGTCTTGCTCAGTTGCCCAGGCTAGAGTGCAGTGGCAGGACCATACCTCACTTCAGCCTTCAACTCCTGCCTCAGCAATCTTCCTGCCTCAGCCTCCCAAATAGCTGGGACTACAGAAGCACATTACCATGTCCAGGTAATTTTTGTATTTTTAGTAGAGACAGGGTTTCACCATGTTGGCCAGGCTGGTCTTGAACTCCTGGCTTCATGATCTGCCCACCTCGGCCTCCCAAAGTGCTGGGATTACAGGTGTCAGCCACCACACCCGGCCCAAAATTTGTTTTTTAATTTTTGCATAGAGATGAGGGTTTTGCTTTGTTGCCCAGGCGGGGCTCCAACTCCTGGCTTCAAGGGATTCTCCCACCTCAGCCTCCCAAACTGCTGGGATTACGGATGTGAGCCACCACAACCAGCCAGAGCTTTCTAATTTTAAAATTAGAAACTTAAAACTTGAGTAGCTGGAGAGCCAAGATTTTTCTTTGTCCTCAAATAAGTGCTATTGCAGACATAGAAAATCTGACATCTTTGCAAGAATCATGGTGGAGATAGACTCTGTCCTGTCTCTGGCCTGGTTTCGGGGACCAGGAGGGCAGCCCCTTGCACTGCCAAGAAGCATGCCAAAGTTAATCATTTGCCCTGCTGAGTACATGGCCGATCAGGCTGTTTTTGTGTGCCTGTTTTCACCTGTTTTCTATTTCACGTAAATCATCCTGAACACGTTTGCATCAACCTACTGATGATGCACCTTTGATCAATATATTTTAGACAAAAGTGGTTTTTGAGTCCAAAGATCAGGGCTGGGTTGACCTGAATACTGGATACAGGGCATATAAAACAGGGGCAAGGCACAGAGTGATAGCAGAGCAATCACCACCAAGCCTGGAAGAAGTGCAAGGGCTCTGCTGACGGCTTCCTGAGGTGCCAAGGAAATGAGGATGGAGGAAGGAATGAATGTTCTCCATGACTTTGGGATCCAGTCAACACGCTACCTCCAGGTGAATTACCAAGACTCCCAGGACTGGTTCATCTTGGTGTCTGTGATCGCAGACCTCAGAAATGCCTTCTATGTCCTCTTCCCCATCTGGTTCCATCTTCAAGAAGCTGTGGGCATTAAACTCCTCTGGGTAGCTGTGATTGGAGACTGGCTCAACCTCGTCTTTAAGTGGTAAGAACCTATAGAGAGGAGATCAGCAAGGAAAGAGGCTGGCATTCACTCTGGAAATGTCTGTCCATCAGAAGTTGCTTTTCCCAAGCTATTCAGGAAGCCACGGGCTACTCATACTCCCAATCCCTCTCTCTGATTTTGGATCACCTACATAAAGAGGGAAGACAGAAAAAAATCCTACCAGTGACTTAAAAATACAGGAAAGCCAATTTCATATGGGTTAAAGGGTATGACAGTTGAATTTCCTGATAAGTCTGAGTTATATAGACTTTGAGCAAAGAGTTTTATTACTATGAAGCAGAATAGGTAAAATAAAGATCGATGTATGGGGCACGGCATGGTGGCTCAATCCTGTAATCCCAGCACTTTGGAAAGCCAAAGTGGGCAAAATCCTGTCAGCCCAGGAGTTCAAGACCAGCCTGGGCAACATGGCGAAATTCCATCTCTACAAAAACATTAGGAAAAATAGCTGGGCATGATGGCATGCACCTGTAGTCCCAGCTACTCAAGAGACTGAGGTGAGAGGCAGAGGAGGTTGCAGTGAGCTGAGATTGAGCCACTGCACTCCAGCCTGGGCAACAGAATAAGACCCTGTTGCAAAAAAAAAGAAAAAAGATGGATGATGTTTGCTATATGAAAAAAGGAAACACACAGGTGATTCAAAAGCCTGTTTTGTAGGGTAATGAAAAGTTAGCCTGGGAACTGGGCTACATGTCCTTGGCAAGTCATCAATTCTCTGAGTTTCTGTTTTATAATCTACAAATAGGTTATCTCTGGCAGCTTAATAATAATCAGGGTTAACATTTATTAAACACTTAGTGTGTGCCAGGCCTTGGGCTATGTGCTTTTCTGTGAAAGAGTTGCTACTATTTACAGAAACAGTAGATGCAGAGACCAAGGTGCTGAGTTAAATGATTAGGCCAACGTGGTTAGTATATGCTGAGCCAGGATGGAAGCCCAGGCTGGCAGGCTGGCTTCTGAGGCAATGCTCTTAAGAACTATGTTATAGGCAGGGTGTGGTGATGCATGCCTGTTATCCCAGCTACTTGGGAGGCTGAGGCAGGGGAATCGCTTGAACCCAGGAGGCAGAGGTTGCAGTGAGCTGAGATTGCGCCACTGCACTCCAGCCTGGCAACAGAGCGAGACAAAAAAGAAGAAGAAGAAGAAGAATTATGTTACATCCAGTGCTGATTTGCCAGTTTCTACCATGCAAACATTCCCATTATGGCCACTTTCTTTTTGCTTGTTTGTTTGAGACGAAGTCTCACTCTGTCCCCCAGGCTGGAGTGCAATGGCGCAAATTGGCTCACTGCAATATCCACCTCCCAGACTCAAGCAATTCTTCTACCTCAGCCTCTGGAGTAGCTGGGATTACAGATGCCTGCCACCACGCCTGGCTAATTTTTGTATTATGGCCACTTTCAAGCTACGGTTGGTTCCTGCTTGCAAAATTTCTTAATATTTAATCATTGACTCTTCTTGGCCAGCTCCAGAGGACTCTAGCACACTACTGGTTTGGCCTCTATGTCCTCATCTAGAAAATGAAGGGGATCAGCTGCCCTCTAAGATTTTTACCATCCTCAAAACTACCTACCACCAGCTGATTCTTTTTTGTTTGATCATTCAAAACGAGGTCCTGCTCTGTCACCCAAGTTGGAATACAGTAGCAGGCATAATCTTAGCTCACTGCAGCCTCAAACACCAGGGCTCAAGCTGTCCCTCTCCTCAGCCTTCCAAGTAGCTAGGACTGCAGGTGCACACCACCATGCCTAGCTAATTTTTTTTTTTTTTTTTTGAGACGGAGTCTCATTCTACCAGGTTCAAGTGATTTTCCTGCCTCAGCTTCCCAAGTAGCTGGGACTACAGGCACATGCCACCATGCCTGGCTAATTTTTGTACTTTTAGTACACATGGGGTTTCACCATGTTAGCTAGAATGGTCTCGATTTCCTGACCTCCCAAAGTGCTGGGATTACAGGCATGAGCAACTGCATCCAGCCTGCTCAGCTAATGATTTTTTTTTTTTTGAGAGACAGGGTCTCACTATGTTGCCCAGGCTGGTCATCAGGCAATTTTTATTTATTTATTTATTGAGACAGAATCTTGCTCTGTCACCCAGGTTGGAGTGCAATGGTGTGATCTTGGCTCACTGCAACCTCCGCCTCCCAGGTTCAAGCAATTCTCATGTCTCAGCCTCCCAAATAGCTGGAATTACAGGCACTCGCCATCATGCCCAGCTAATTTTTGTATTTTTAGTACAGACAAGGTTTCACTATGTTGGCCAGGCTGGTCTCTCCTGACCTCAGTTGATCTGCCTGCATCAGCCTCCGAAAGTGCTGGGTAGCTCACACAGGTGTCGGGTGGGGGGGGAGGGCGGGGGGGGAGGCGGCGGCGGGGGGAGCTGAGTTTCACTCTTGTTGCCCATGCTGGAGTGCAATGGCACGGTCTCGGCTCACTGCAACCTCTGATCAGGCAATTCTTAATATCTCTTCTAGCTCTAATATTCTTTTACTATAACAATTAAAGTCCTTCAGTGTAGGGGGAAAAAAATATATTAGTTTCTGGAGCCCCAGGCAGATTGATGAGATTCCTGAAACCACTGTTGAAAAAGCTACTAAATTTTGTTTGCAGTGTCTCCTTCAGCAGCTTAATTCTGAAAAATAAAAAGATGAAGTGTTGGCCAGGCGTCGTGGCTCACGCCTGTAATCCCAGCATTTTGGGAGGCCGAGGCGGCGGATCAGGAGGTCAGGAGATAGAGACCATCCCGGCCAACATGGTGAAACCCCATCTTTACTAAAAAAAGAAACAAAAAATACAAAAATTAACTGGGCATGGTGGCATGTGCCTGTAATCCCAGCTGCTCGGGAGTGTGAGGCAGGAGAATAGCTTGAACCAGGGAGTTGGAAGTTGCAGTGAGCTGAGATTGTGCCACTGCACTCCAGCCTGGCAACAGAACAAGACTCCCATCTCGAAAGAAAGAAAGAAAAGAAAGAAAGAAAGAAAGAAAGAAAGAAAGAAAGAAAGAAAGAAAGAAAAGATGAAGTGTTATTCCAACATCTGATCTCCATTGAAGAACCATGCAATCTCTCTGGGTTGGTAGGGGTCAGAGTTAGTGGCTCTCCCTGATTTCGGTGAGAAATCACTATTCCTCCATCACAAGGGAAAAAAGGCATCCTGACTGACACTTGACATCTGTTTCCACAGTGAAAAATGTATCTAGTAAGTTTAAAGGGAAAGTGGTTTGTCTAAGATACTCTGTTTCAAAGCAGAGAGGATACAGAACAAGCATCTGAAGCTCTATATATCCTTACAGAGAGCAATTCTGATGGAAATGCAGGCCATGTTTCCTGGAGGGGCTTGTCCTAGGGGATAGAGAGCATTCTTTGATGTCAGAGGAAATGCAAGATTCCCTGAGGCCTGAAGAAAGAAGAGGGAACCCATGGTATATGCACGTCCAAGTTGAAAACTGTAGTTCCAGGGCAAATACTTCTGGAGGTAAAGAAAAAAAAAGTCACATAGCTGCCATTATATGGATTTCAAGATTATTTTTTTTCTTTTTTTTTGTTTTTTGGACAGAGTCTTGCTCTGTCTCCCAGCCTGGAGTGCAGTGGCACAATCTTGGCTCACTGCAACCTCCACTGCTCAGGTTCAAGCGATTCTCCTGCCTTAGCCTCCTAAGTAGCTGGGATTACAATCATGCACCACCACACCTGGTTAATTCTTTATATTTTTTATAGAGACAGGGTTTCACCATGTTGCCCTGGCTGGTCTCAATCTCCTGCGCTCAGGCAATCCTCCCACCTTGGCCTCCCAAAGTGCTGGGAATACAGGTGTGAGCCACCATGCCTGGCCAGAGTTCAGAATCTTGGGCTTCATTATTTGTGTTTAAATAAATCATATGGTGAGGCGAGGTGGCTCACGCCTGTAATCCCAGCACTTTGGGAGGCCAAGGTGGGAGGATTGTCTGGGCTCAAAAGATCGAGACGAGCCTGGGCAACATGGTGAAACCCCATCTCTACTAAAAATATGAAAATTAGCTGGATGTGGTGGCACGCACCTATAATCTCAGCTACTCAGGAGGCTGAGGTGGGAGGAGCCCAGGAGGTAGAGGTTGCAATGAACCGAAATTGTGCCACTGCACTCCAGGCTGGGTTACAAAGCCAAATCCTGTCTCAAAAAAAAAAAAGATAATACAGTCAAACAGTTCAAAATGCAAAAGTTACATACATAAATACGTGTCATAAAACATCTCCCTCTCACACTTCTCCCCAGCCACCCAGTTCTCCCATCTACAGGCAACATGTGAAATCCTTCTCAAGCTATGCTTTTCTTGAAGGTGTGGGCTTTGGGCCAAAGCATTCATTCAGTAACCCCAGAAACTGGTTCTGTTTTTCCGCAGGATTCTCTTCGGCCAGCGTCCGTACTGGTGGGTTTTGGACACTGACTACTACAGCAACACCTCCGTGCCACTGATAAAGCAGTTCCCTGTCACCTGTGAGACTGGGCCAGGTGAGCATCCCAGCCCCTGTAGAGATGGAGGCTGGGTGGACCTCGTTCATCTGTTATGGATTAAACTGACCTTGAGGGAACACGAGGAGGGCTATTCCTTTG